TAGTGGCTTGGAAATGACAGCAATCAGAAGTTGGTTGCAGTAAACGAATAATAATAGAAAGCTAAAATTTTGCACATATCAGCCTTTTGTATACAGGCAGGTCAAGTTGGAAAATGGTCCACATATCGATCTACGATATCGTATAGCCCCAATATAACAGTACCCCACGATATTAGGTATTTTGATGATTTTAGTCAAATTTTCAAATGGAATTGTCTACAATTCTACGCAACGAGTTTTTCGTGACTACTTTACCCCCTGGAAGAGAAATTTCTATATAGGTCCACGATATCGTATTGCCCACATACAACGGTACTCCCCGATATTCGATATTTTGACGATTTTAGGGGGTTGTTTACAATTTCGTATTTAGAGTTCCTAATAGCAACTAGAGTCTATGAAAGAACATTTTCTATGTAGGACCACGTCTTCGTATAGGTATTTCCACGATTTTAGTTACAATATTCACCGAAACTGTTTGAAATTTCGTATTTGAAGTTTCTAATAGGTACTACAGCCTGTGACAGAAAATTGTCTATGCAGGTCCAGGTCTTCGTATAGCCCGAGTTTAGCTACATTATTCACCTGAATTTTTCTTCAATCTTCGTATTAGAATGTTGTTATGACTTATGATAAAAGTTTCCAATGCAGTTCCAAGTCTTCGTATTCAGTATTTTTAAGATTTTAACAGAATTTTTAATGGATCTTACTTTTTTGAAAATTTTCAACTTCATTCCAAATGGTGGAGGGTATTCAAAGTTCGGCCCGGTCGAACTTGCTGCTTTTTTACTTGTTATACCCTAAGCCATATGGCTGGAGAGAGTATATATCATTTGATACGTCCAAAACGTGCCTCATCGAAAAAACGGTTTTAGACCCTAGGTCTCTATGGACCAAATCCGTTTCAGGACAGGAAGTATCCGATTTGGTCCTCGAAATATTATTACCAAACTTAGGTCGAGTTCGGAGATGGGCAATATTTTACTGCACAGAAAGAGAAAGGATAATCCGATTTTACTCCAACTTTGCAAATACCAATATTTGCATCAGCGCTAGGTCAGGTGCGACCACTCCATCAACTACCTCCCCCAAAAAGCGTCCAAATTTTGAGAAATTATAACTCTTATAAAATATAATATAAGAGGCTGATTGTCTCCAAATTACACTTTTTTATTAACCCAAGGTCTGGTGTGAATATGGAATATATCGGTCCACTCCTTCTGGTACCTCCGCCAAAAAGGGTCAAAATTTTGATTAACCAAAACGATCATAAAAAATGAAATCAAAATCCAATTCCATTCAGACTTGGTAAATCTCAATATTTCCATCCACACAAGATCTGTTATAAAGATGGTAGAGATCGGACCATTTCATCTGATACCTCCCCCACAAAGGGTCAAAATTTTGAATAACCAAAACGATCATAAAATTGGAAATAAGCATTCGTTGCTCTTCAAATTTCGCACATCCAATTGTTTCTACTGACAAAAGATCTACTGTGAAGATGGGAAATTTCGGTCCACTCTTTCTGGTACCTCTCCCACAAAAGGGTAAAAATTTTGAATATCCATGTAGCTCATAAAGCACGAACTTAGCATCCGATTCCATTCAGCCTTGGTACATCTTCATATTTCTATCAACACAAGATGTTTTTATAAAGATGGTAGAGATCGGACCATTTCTTCTGGCATTGCCCATCTCCGAACTCGATCTGAGTCGAACGATAATATTTCGATGTGTCATATTTGGATCGAATCGTATACTCCCTTCGAGAGTTATCCAGCCAGACAGACACTAAAACTTAAAACAAGATTAGTCTATAAAAGGCGACCAAAATCGAAAATCGCTAACGAAGACAGAATGTATCGGTCCATGTTTTCATGTGGTCCCCATATAACGGCACCTCTTGATTTTCTGTATTTGCAATATAATTTGATAGTTTGAATATTTTCTGGGTATATTGATTCCTCTCGTCAAATATGCAATATAGGTATAGTCCCTATTCATAAACTTAGGGATAATTAAAGATTTCAGATGGAATTTTAGAATTTTCATCCCTAAACATCGAAAATCGAATAAGAATACAGATTCGATTAGAATTTAAGACTTTTTAATGCAATGGAATAAGTTGTACTCAAACAAACCAAATTGGACCCCATTTCCTATTCGAAAAGCGGACTTAGTTGTAATTAAACTTGTATACTTTCATCACCCCATTGAAATCTCAAAATTCCCCGAAGAACGTAATATGTCAACATTGTAATAACTGAATTAAGTCATTTCAATACTGACCACAAAAAAAAGCAAAAATCAATCACACATCATATCTAATAAATACAATCAATAGATTGAGATAAACCGTTGACAAGATTACCAAGCCATATAGTTGCTGGGCTATCTGGCTAGCCAGCCGGGGGGACGGACCGGCCATTGCAACAATATTGATTTACTGGCAGCACTTCACAGTACAACGCGTACTAAATCAAATTTCCCCCCCAATGAACTTTAAACTCAAACAAAATCACAGATTAGTTGAGGTCTGCTATAGCTTTGTCTTCTTCTTCTTCATCATCATACGTGCATGGAGACCTGGGTTCGTGCAGTTCAACTAATGCTTGAAATATATCACGTCGTCGGACAGCTTGCGGTAGCCGGCGAAGCGAGCAAGTCTAATCGCTGTCATTACTGATCAAAACAAAAGCTCAACTCGGCAAGGGGTACAAGTTGTGGCAGTGAGGGCATACATACTTAGCAAATGGTACCAAATTGGTACGAAATGTACTTACCTTTGGTTGGGAGTCGCATTTTTCTGGGTGAGTGAGGTAATGGCGAGAACTCGAACTAGAAAGAAATAAACAATTAATTAAAAATAAATCAAGTAAAAATAGCAACAGAATATCTGGAGGTACATTTATATGGGGCTATACAAAAATTTTGGATCTGTATAATTAATTGCCTGCGGCACCTTACAGACCTGGAGGGCCTTCAAAAATATTTTTTAAAAAAATCCACGCCTTGAAGGATGTTCAAAAATTATTCTTTAAAAACTCCAAGTTTACAGACTTGGAGGGCCTTCAAAAAACATTTTTTAAAAAAATCCACGCCTTGAAGGATGTTCAAAAATTATTCTTTAAAGTTTACAGACTTGGAGGGCCTTCAAAAAAATATTTTTTAAAAAATCCACGCCTTGAAGGATGTTCAAAAATTATTCTTTAAAAACTCCAAGTTTACAGACTTGGAGGGCCTTCAAAAAATATTCTTTAAAAACTCCAAGTTTACAGACTTGGAGGGCCTTCAAAAAATATTCTTTAAAAACTCCAAGTTTACAGACTTGGAGGGCCTTCAAAAAATATTCTTTAAAAACTCCAAGTTTACAGACTTGGAGGGCCTTCAAAAAATATTCTTTAAAAACTCCAAGTTTACAGACTTGGAGGGCCTTCAAAAAATATTCTTTAAAAACTCCAAGTTTACAGACTTGGAGGGCCTTCAAAAAATATTCTTTAAAAACTCCAAGTTTACAGACTTGGAGGGCCTTCAAAAAATATTCTTTAAAAACTCCAAGTTTACAGACTTGGAGGGCCTTCAAAAAATATTCTTTAAAAACTCCAAGTTTACAGACTTGGAGGGCCTTCAAAAAATATTCTTTAAAAACTCCAAGTTTACAGACTTGGAGGGCCTTCAAAAAATATTCTTTAAAAACTCCAAGTTTACAGACTTGGAGGGCCTTCAAAAAATATTCTTTAAAAACTCCAAGTTTACAGACTTGGAGGGCCTTCAAAAATATTCTTTAAAAACTCCAAGTTTACAGACTTGGAGGGCCTTCAAAAAATATTCTTTAAAAACTCCAAGTTTACAGACTTGGAGGGCCTTCAAAAAATATTCTTTAAAAACTCCAAGTTTACAGACTTGGAGGGCCTTCAAAAAATATTCTTTAAAAACTCCAAGTTTACAGACTTGGAGGGCCTTCAAAAAATATTCTTTAAAAACTCCAAGTTTACAGACTAGGAGGGCCTTCAAAAAATATTCTTTAAAAACTCCAAGTTTACAGACTTGGAGGGCCTTCAAAAATATTCTTTAAAAACTCCAAGTTTACAGACTTGGAGGGCCTTCAAAAAATATTCTTTAAAAACTCCAAGTTTACAGACTTGGAGGGCCTTCAAAAAATATTCTTTAAAAACTCCAAGTTTACAGACTTGGAGGGCCTTCAAAAAATATTCTTTAAAAACTCCAAGTTTACAGACTAGGAGGGCCTTCAAAAAATATTCTTTAAAAACTCCAAGTTTACAGACTTGGAGGGCCTTCAAAAATATTCTTTAAAAACTCCAAGTTTACAGACTTGGAGGGCCTTCAAAAAATATTCTTTAAAAACTCCAAGTTTACAGACTTGGAGGGCCTTCAAAAAATATTCTTTAAAAAATCCACGCCTTGAAGGTCATTTAAAAAAATATTCTTTAAAAAAATCCACGCCTTGAGGGTCATTTAAAAAATATTCTTTAAAAAATACACGCCTTGAGGGTCATTTAAAAAATGTTCTTTAAAAAATCCACGCCTTGAATGTCATTTAAAAAATATTCTTTAAAAAATCCACGCCTTGAGGGTCATTTAAAAAAATATTCTTTAAAAAATCCACGCCTTGAAGGTCATTTAAAAAATATTCTTTAAAAAATCCACTGTAAAAAATCCATTTGTAAAAAAGTACAATTGTACTTTTTTCCCGATTTTTTTTCCAGCACAAAATAACCTCTTCACCATGAAAAGCTTTTTTTCTAATATTTAAGTGCAAATATAACGCCGGCGATGCGATCATAGCGTTATCGTCTTCCGAACATGCATACATACATACACACACATATCTATGGACAATCGATCATCATACGACTAACGTCGCTGCAGAAAAATAATGCCGAAACACCAACAAATCGCCATGGACTCAACGAACACCGGTAGCTATAACGCAAATACATACATATATACAATGACGACGACGTCGAAACGCGACGTCTTCCAAACGTTCGACAGCGACGATGCGTTCGTTGAAACACAAAAAAAGCGTTATATTTATAAGTGAAATGCTGATTTGAATTCAGAACGTTTTTAGCTGTTTTCACAACAAGTAAGTGTTGGCGGCGGTTTGGATTTTTTTCGTATTTTTTCAAGAAAACAAAAATATGTTGGCGGGAGTGAAGAGTTGTGGTGTTGAGATGAGGTTTAAAAATATTAAAAAAATTAATATTTGAAAAAAAATATTTTTTTTTGGAAATAAAGAAAAAATAATTTTTTTTTTTTGGAAATAAAGAAAAAATTAGAAGTGAAAATATAATTTTGAAAAAATAAAATTTAGAAGTGAAGAAAAAATGTATATCGGTTTCTATGGAATGAAAGTGATGCATCTACCAGTTGCACATACATGTTTGACTTGAAATTTTGTGTTAAAAAATTAATGGTTTAATTAATTGTGTTTCTATACAGGATCCCTACGAAACCTATAAAAGAAAAAAACAAAAAAACAAGTACAATAATTTACAATTAACTACCTGTGTGGTTTTTCCAATTATTGATAAAGTTGTTGTGATCGATCGAACTAGCAGAGATACTAAGGCAGCAATACATACACCTAGACACATATGTATATACATACATATGTATGCATGTGTCAAGGCAATCAAAAGACATTTTGTAAATTATTTCTATTTTTTTAATATGCCCTCAACCTCATGGGTGAGTGTGGAGGGTGAGATAAAAAAAAACTGCAATAAAGTCAAACGCCATAATTTTTACATTCTTTTTTTAATTTTATTGAATAAAAGCAAAAAATGTCGGACATAGCATCAAATTTTAGAATAAGTTCAGATTTGTTCGAATTGGTCACCTTTGGCACGAATTATGGCCAATGAAACCGTCACACGCTGCTCGAATGTTGTTCTGGGGTATTTTGGCCCATTCCCTGCGAAAAGCTTGCTTGAGGTGATCGACACTTTGGTATTTTTTAGTGCCAACCTTGCTTTCCAAAATACTCCAGACACAATAGTCCAAGGGATTGGTATCCGGAGATTTTGGTGGCCATTGTGAGCTGGAAATGAAGCGAGGAACCTCATTTTGTAACCATTCTGTAACCCAGCGCGAGCTGAGTGCGATGGTGCTGAGTCCTGTTGCAATGTCTAAGGTCTGCGGCCAAAATTTTTGTGTGCCCAAGGTTTTAATACACCCTTCAGAATATTTTCGCGATCAAATTCCGCATTTATTCTGATGCCACGGTCGATTAATACGAGCGGACAGCGACCATCGGCTGTTATGGCGGCCCACACTTGAGTTCCGGCGCTTGAGTTCTGGTGGCCAACCGAATAGGTTCATTTTTAGCTGACCTCTTTGGCAAGTAAACACGATGATTTTGTTTGTTTACAAATTGCTAGACAACAAATGTTTTCTCATCGGAGAAAACCAAATTCGGCTATTCAACACTTTCGGCCAAGCGAAGCAACTCTTTAGCTCTTTCGAGCTTTTTGGAATTTCAATGGCTTTACCGAGCTTATTATTTAATATTTGTTTTTTAAATGAACCAAAAAATCCATGTTCATAGCCTGGTTGGAGATTCGAAAGATATTCCTTAAGAAAGTTCAGGATTGTAGCCTTGAAGGGCCTTAAAAATCCTTAAAAAATCCACGTTTGTGATGTTAAGGGGACTTTAAAAATAGTTTTGAAGGTCCTTAAAACATTGATTAAAAAAAACAAAATTCATAGCCCGAAGGGCCTTTAAAAATATTCTTTATAATATCAATATTTGTGGCCTTGATAGGTCTTCAAAAAATCCAGGTTTGATGACTTCGAGGGTTTTCATAATATTTAATTTATTTAATCTTGAAAATACACGTAATAACCCCAAAGGGACCCCAAAATTTATTAAATAATCTAAAAATTCAGGAAAATAGCAGTGAAGGGTCTTAAGAAGTTAATTTAATATTCCATGTTTATAGCCTGGTTGGAGATTCGAAATATATTCCTTAAGAAAGTCCAGATTCATAGCCTTGAAGGGCCTGCAAAAAATTCTTTAAAAAATTCATGTTTTGTGGTGTTAAGGGACCCTAAAAAATCAATATTCATAGCCCAAAGGACCATCAAAAAATATTCTTTAAAAATCATTAATTGTGGTCTTTCAAGGACTTGAAAAAAAGTATTTTGTTAAAAATCAACCTGTATGTTCCTTCAAGAGCCTTAAAAACACTCTTTAAATAACAATAATCATTAAAATTCAGAAAATAACCTAAAAATACCTTTTACAAATATTCTTTAAAAAAATCAACGAAAATAGCATGGAAGGACTTTAAGAAGTTAATTTAAAAATCCACGTTTATAGCAGCTGAAAGACCTTTAGAAAATATTCGTCAAAAATCCACGTTGATAGTTTTAAAAGGCACTCAAAAAAGGCACTATCCAATAATTAAATTTTTGGTAATTTACTAAAATTTATTTTTTTTTTCTAAATTTCAAAACAATGATTTCTCTTTAGAAAATTCTCTTATATTTCTCTCAGTGTCCACATACACTTCAATTCAACAGCTTCGCCAATAAACTTCAACTGCAACTTACTAGGTATCCAATTTGTTGGCATCATTACACATAACTCATTATTGTTGCCTGTAATGATGATGGGAAATTTTGTAACGGAAATACATTTCATATAATTTCTTTATTATTTTTGTTTTGATTTCCATTTCTTTTTTGCTGGTAATAATCCATTTAAAGTGGAATGAAGCGTAACGCTCACGTTCATGGAGGTGGGGGTAGAGGGTCAGACGAAATGAAAGAGAAACTATTACGACAATGGTAAATTCCATGGAACGCACAAGTTACTTCTATAAATTGCTGGCTGTAGAGGAAGAAAGAAAGAGGAAAGAAAGAGGGGTTAAAGTCAAACTTGGTGTGCAATTGAAATGTAAACTGCACTTCAATGACTTGTTGCTTGGCGGAAGAGAGGCACAGAAATACAAGAAACGTAGGATATAAATGTCAATCACGGTTGAGGTTTTAAAAATAAATGAAAGGGGGAAGTGGGTAGAAGTAGCGGAAAAAACCAAAAGCCATGGAAGGCCCTTAAAAATATTATTCTAAAATCAAAATTAATGGCATTGAAGGGCCTTTAAAAGCTTTTATTTACGAAATTCATGTTTAAAAACTTCAACCTTATTCTTTGAAAATCCATTGAAGAAATCTCTTAATAATGAACAAATTAAAAATCAACGATTTTTGACCTTCAAAAAATATTTTTCAAAAATCACGATAATAGGGTCTCATTAAAAATTATAAAATTAATAAAACTAAGCCTTGAAAATATGTTTCTTAAAAAGCACCCACAATTATAGACCTTCAAAACAATATTTGTAGGCTATTAAATATTTAAATATCCACTAAGATAAAAGACCTTCAAAAAATATTACTAAATTATTATATAAATATCAATATTATTATATAAATATTAAATATTACTAAAGAAAAATATTACTAATATAAAAATCCAAAATTAATTCCTAAAGTGGCTTTAACACTACTCTTTTAAATACCGCAATAATTTTGAAGGTCATCCACTTAAAAAAAATAATTTTTAAAAATCACGTATAATCTGGATTGGCATTCAAAAATCCCGGTTTGTGTTTTTGAAGGACTTCGAAAATATTCTTTAAAATATACTCATTTTTAGCCTTGAAGGGCCTTTAAACAAGATTCTTAAAAAATTATTCTTTAAAAAACAAGCTTTTGACCTACATGGCCCTAAAAATATTCTTTAAAAAATCCACGTTTTTGCCTTAGATGACCCTAAAATATTCCTTAAAAAATCCACGTTTTTTGCCATAGATGACTCTAAAAATATTCTTTAAAAAATCCACGTTTATAGCCTCGGATGACCCTAAAAATATTCCTTAAAAAATCCACTTAAAAAAAATACACGTTTATAGGCTCGGTTGACCCTAAAAATATTCCGTAAAAAATCCACTTAAAAAAAATACACGTTTATAGGCTCGGATGACCCTAAAAATATTTTTTCTAAAAATATTCTTAAAAAATCCACGTTTATAGCCTTAGATGGCTCTAAAATAATTTTTTTTTTAAATCCACGTTCATAGTCTTAGATGACTCCAAAAATATTCCTCAAAAAATCCATGCCGTAAATGACCCTAAAAATATTCTTTCAAAATTTCACGTTTATAACCTTGAATAGTCTTGAAAAACATTCTTTAAAAAATCCACATTTATAGCCTCAGAAGAGCCTCAAAAATATTCTTTAAAAAATCCATGTTTATAGCCTTAAATGGCCTCCACTACTGTGGTGTTGAGGGGACTTCAAACAATCCGGGTTTATAACCTTGAAGGGCCATCAAAAATATTGTTTACAAATTAATTTTGGGGCCCTGAAAGGCCTTCAAAAATTGTTTGTTAAATAAATTTTGGGTCTAGAAGGCAGGGTTTTTAAAAATAATATCTAAAGTCTCCACATCTAAAGCCTTGAATTGCCTTCGGCAAATATATAAAAAATCAACGATTTTATCTTTTAAAAATATTCCTAAAATTCTCTGTTGTTGGACTTGAAGGGTTTTTAATAATATTCGATAAAAAAAAACCTCAATTATGTCCTTGAAGGGTCTTCGGAAAAAAACTTTAAAATTCCTCGACGGTGTCCTCAACGGGCCATCCATTTTTTTTTTAAATATTCTTCAAAAGCTCCGAATCTATAGCCATGAAGGGCCTTTAAAATAATATTTCAAAAATAAACCTTTGTGGCCTTGAAAGGGTCTTCAGAAAATATTCCTTAAAAAATTCACGTTTTGGCCTTGAAAGATTTCATAAATATTCTTTAAAAAATCCACGTTTTGGTCTTGAAGGATTTTAAAAAAATTTAAAAAAATCGCGTTTAAAGAATTTTCCACAATTTTCTTTAAAAATCCACGTTTGAAGCCTTAAAGGGTCTTCAAATATTTTTCTTCTTTAAAAATCCACGTTTGAAGCCTTAAAGGGTCTTCAAATATTTTTCTTCTTTAAAACTCCACGTTTGAAGCCTTAAAGGGTCTTCAAATATTTTTCTTTAAGAAATCCACGTTTAAAACCTTAAAGGGTCTTAAAAATCCTTCAAGTCCTTCAAGGACTTCAAAAATCGACGTTTAAAATTCTTTAAAATTTCATGCTTTTGATCTTGAAGCGCCTTGAATAGCCTTGAAATATCCAAGTTTATAGTCTTAAAGGGCCTTCAAAAATATTCTTAAAAAAATCCAAGTTTAGAGCATTGAAGGGCCTTCAAAAAATATGCTTTAAAATGTCCACGTTTGTGGCCTTGAGGGGCCTCTATAAAATAGTTATAAAAAAACCGTAATCATTCAAAAAATGAAGTCCTGTACCATTCAAAAAATTCTTGGAAAAATTACGTTTACAGACCAAAAAAAATTTTTTTTTAAATTTAAGAATTGAAATGGTCTTCAAAATATATTTTATAAAAATAGACCTTACATTTTTTTTAAAAAAGTCGTGACCTTGAAGGGCCTTCAAAAGCCCTTCTTTAAAAATCCAACTTTTAAAAATAGGTTTTTAAAAAAAATCCACGTTTATGATTTTTCAAAACTATGTCTTCAATTATCTCTTCCCCCACTCCATCCCTTCCCCACACTCCATTCCCCTGCTAACCACCACTTCCTCCACACCGGCAATTAAATTCAATTTTTAACCAAAGAAAACCATTTGTGTTCGCTCGTTTGGCAAATGCCACTTTTCAACGCTTATTTATGTTTCTTGGCTTTTGTATTCTTTTTATTACCGTTACAATAAAAACAGCAGCAACTACAACAACACTATGGCTTAAAAAAGTAGCTATTAACTTAGTTATGGCCATTCTTCTTGCGGTGACTGTGGCCGATCGGCCGGCCATTCTTTTGCAGAAGACACTGGTCAATAGCACCGACGTACGCTACGTTGGTTTGTCGCTCAGTTAGAGAAAGTTAACTGTTGTCTAACTGTCTGTCTGACCAACTAAAATTGGTGAAATGCCAGTTTTGAAATTTACTTCCTGAGAATATTAAAAAAAAACACCGAAGATGCTGATAGTGGTGATAATGGTTTTGGGATAGTCTCATAAAATAATAATTCATTGCGGACAAAATCGTCAACTTTCTAAAGAAGATTGGAAGATTTGTCTTTGGAAATTTTATGAAAGAGATGTTGTTTTACTTTTGAATGTAAGACAACAATGACTTGGCAAAAATTTCAAAATTAAAATTCAAATTAAATTTGAAAAGGGAAGGGCAGATTTAATGGTTCTCGAAAATATTAAAATTAATAGAAAAGATAAAGCGAGTCAAAAATATTCCATAATATTTTTACCAAATAAAAAAAAACTTGGTCCATGGAAAATTTCTGAATAAATTGAAGTTTAAAAATTCCGCAATGAACCGTTAAAAAAATACCCTAACAAAATTTCCAAGGAAAAAATCTTAAAATCCACGTCTATAGCTGAAGGTCCTCCAAAAATATTCTTTAAAAAATCAACGTTTATAGCCTTGAAGGACCTTCGAAAAATATTATTTAAAAAATCAAAGTTTATAGCCTTGAAGGACCTTCGAAAAATATTCTTTAAAAAATCCACGTTTATAGCCTTGAAGGACCTTCAAAAAATATTCTTTAAAAAATCCACGTTTATAGCCTTGATGGTCCTTCAAAAATATTCTTTAAAAAATCCACGTTTAAAGACTTAAAAAGGCTTCAAAAATGTTCCTTAAAAGCCATGTTTTCAAAAATCAAAATTAAAAATTATACTTTAAAAAATAATCAAAAATGTATTAATTTATTCAGAAAATGATAATTAACCCCCTTTTCTCTACTTTTTTCCAGATTACCTTCAATAAAACTCACTCAACATGTCTTTGGATGAAGTAAGTATATATACATCCAGATTTTTTTTATTGTGAATCCTAATTAATTTCCCCTCTCTCCCCTTAGCAATTCAATGCCGCCGCCGAAAGCGTCAAGACCATGACCAAGCGTCCCACCGACGATGAATTCTTGGAATTGTACGCCCTCTTCAAGCAAGCCACCGTCGGCGACAACACCACCGACAAGCCCGGTATGTTGGACTTGAAGGGCAAGGCCAAATGGGAATGGTGGAACAAGCAAAAGGGCAAATCCCAAGAGGCTGCCAAGAAGGAATACATTGAATTCGCCGCCAAATTGGTTGCCAAATACACATAAATAGAGATGAAGTTCCTCGATTTTTCCATAGACGCTGTGTAAATGATTTCTTTTGTATGACTTAAATTTTCTTTTTGTTAATTAAAAAAAAAATAATAATTATTATTATTTATAAAAAATAAAAAAATAAACTTTTTTACAAAAAATTACGATTTCAGACTTGAAGGTCATTCAAAATGTATTCTTTAAAACTCCACGTTTATAGCCTGGAAGGGGCTTCAAAAATATTCTTTAAAAAATTCAAGTTTGTAGCCTTGAAGAGTCTTCAAAGAATATTCTTAAATAATCAAAACTTATAGCTCTGAAGGGCCTTCAAAAATATTCTCAAAAAATTTTAAGTTTCTGGCTAAAAATATTCCTTAAAAATCCACGCTTTTAGCCTTGAAAGATCTTCCAAAAATATTATTTAAAAATCCACATGCATAGTCTTCATGGGCCTTTGAAAATCTACGTCGATAACCTTAAAGGTCTTTAAATGTCCTTTAGAAAATATTATTAAAAAAACAGCCAGCATTCTCTAAAAACGGCTTTGTAGCCTTGAAGGATGTTCACAATATTTTCTTTTAAAAATCCACGTTTGTAGGCTTGTAGCCTTTAAAAACATTGTCTAAAAAGACAATTTTATAGCCACGAAGAACTTTCAAAAAATTTTCTTAAAAAATCCATGTTTATAGCTTTAATGGCCCTGAAAATTATTCTTCAAAAACTCTACGTTTCTGACTTTGAAAGGCTTTTAAAAATATTCTCTAAAAAACCACCTTTGAAGCTTAGAAGGTTCATTAAAAATCCACAGTTGTGGACTTGCAGGGTCTTCCAAAAATAAAGATTCAGGTTTGTGGGCCTTCAAATGTTTTTTTTTTTTAATCCGCCTTTATAGCATAGAATGGCCATCAAAAAAATTCTTAAAAAGTCTATAGGATTTTAAGGGCATTTAAAAATATTCTTTTAAAAAACTGTCTTTGTAGCCTTAAAGGGCCTTCAAAAATATTCTCTAAAAAAGTCACTATTAAAGCCTCGAATGACCTTCAAAAATATTATTTTAAAAAGTCCAGGTTTATTGCCTTGAAGGACCCTCAAAGAAATTCTTTAAAGAAACCCTCTTTCTAGCCTTGAAGAGTTTCAAAAAATATTCTCTAATCATCCACGTTTGAAGCCTTGAAGGCCCCTTAAAATCATTCTCAAAAAACACCTTTGTAATCTTCAAAAATATTCTTTATAAAACCACATTTGAAGCCTTATAGGACCTTAAAAAATATTCTCTAAAAAAGCCATCTCTGAAGCCTTGAAGTGTGCTCAAGATACATAATTGTTTTGAAAATCTACGTTTCTGGCTTTGAATGTCTTCCAAACATATTTGAAAAAAAAAATCTCCTTTGAAGCATTGAAGGACCTTAAAAAATGTTCTTTAAAAATCAATGTTTATAGCCATGATGAGCCTTCAAAAATATTCTCTAAAGAAGCCTACTTCTAGCCTTAAAGGACCCTCAAAAATATTCACTAAAAAAGTCACTTTTAAAGCGTCGAATGGCCTTCAAAAATATTATTTAAAAACTCCAGGTTTATTGCCTTGAAGGGCCCTCAAAGAAATTCTTTAAAGGAACTCTCTTTCTAGCCTAGAAGACCTTCAACAAATATTCTCTAATCATCCACGTTTATAGCCTTGAAGGCCCCTTAAAATCATTATCAAAAACACATTTGTAATCTTCAAAAATATTCTTTATAAAACCACATTCGAAGCCTTATAGGACCTTAAAAAATATTCTCTAAAAAAGCCATCTCTGAAGCCTTGAAGTGTGCTCAAGATACATAATTGTTTTTAAAATCCACTTTTCTGGCTTTGAATGTCTTCCAAATATATTTGAAAAAAAAAAAAAAACTCCTTTGAAGCATTGAAGGGCCTTAAAAAATGATCTTTAAAAATCCATGTTTATAGCCATGAGGATACTTCAAAAATATTCTCTAAAGAAGTCACTTTTAAAGCCTCGAATGTCCTTTAAAACTATTATTTAAAAACTCCAGATTTATTGCCTTGAAGGACCCTCAAAAATATTCTCTAAAGAAGCCTCCTTCTAGCCTTGAAAGTGCCTTCAACAAATATTCTCCAATCATCGAAGTTTATTGCCTTGAAGGCCCCCCAAAGATATACTTTAAAAACCCACGCTTATAGCTATGAAGGGCTCTCAAAAATAGTACCTCAATAGTACCTTTGACGCCTTAAATGACCTTCAAAATAATTCTTTTAAAACAATCTGCACTTCTGCTATTGAAGGCCTTTTAAAATCTAAAAAGCTCCTTTTAAGCTTTGAAGAGTCTTCAAAAATATTCATTAAAAAATCCACGTTTATGTCTTGAAGAGCTTTCAAAAATATTCTCAAAAGTATTCTCTAAAAAGCCAACTTTGTAGCCATGAAGGACACTCAAAGTCTCTAAAACGTATTCTTTGAAGCCTTGAATGCCCTTCAAAAATATACTATAAAACTCCCACTTTTATAGCTTTGAAGGACCGTTAACAGTATTCTCCAAAGAAACCTTCTTCTAGCCTTGAAGGGCCAAAACAAATATGCTCCAATCATATAACTTTAGTGTATTGAACAGCCTCCAAATATATTCCTAAATCCACGTTTATAGCCATGAAGGGCCGCCTAAAATATTATCTACAAAATCCACTTTGAAGCCTTGAACTGCCTTAAAAAATGCTCTTAAAAATCCTCAAAATTATTCTTGAAAAAAGTTTTTGGTTTTGAAGTGCCTTTAAAAATATTCTATTAAAAATGCAACTTTGAAGCCTTGAAGGAACATACAAATTTTCTTTTAAAATTCAGGATTATGGATTTTAGGGTCCTTCAAAAATATTCTCCCCAAAAAACCCAACATTGAAGCCTCGAAGAGTTCTCCAAAAACCACTAAAAATTCACAATAAAGTCATTGACCTTCCTTTTAACTTCTGTTTTGAATCGAAACTCACTTTGAAATACTTTCTAAATTATATTCTAATACTTTCGATTAATTCTAATATATTCTGTGTTTTTATTTATAAATCGACACAGTGAACTTTATTATACGAGCACATAAATTTTATTTGTATATGTAGGTATACACATGTACATACATATTTTTATATATTCACATTGACCTGACTTTTACTTTGTTTGACTTTAAACACTTCTAAATAGCCTCAACCATTTATAAAGTGACTAAGGGTTCAATGTTTGCAAAAAAAAAACAAAATAATTAATTCATCATATTAAAATAATGAAAAAAATATTCCAATGACGCACACATGTTTGAAGTTCGATTAAAAAAATATATGTGTCACTAGAACAAATTTTAAAGGTTGCAAGTGGTCTGTACAAACAGATGAATGGAATTTTAATTATTTAGTATTTATTTTTTTTTTTATTTTTCATTTTCTGGAAGCAAAAACATCACCCCCAAGACGTGGATTTTTGAAGACTCTAAAAGGCTATAAACGTGTTTTTTTTTAAGAATATTTTTGAACGACCATCAATGTCACAAACCTGGATTTTTTAAAGAAATATTTTTGAAGGCTATTCAAGGCTTTAAACGTGGATTTTTTTGAAGAAATATTTTTGAAGGCTATTCAAGGCTTTAAACGTGGATTTTTTAAAGAAATATTTTTGAAGGCTATTCAAGGCTATAAACGTGGATTTTTTAAAGAAATATTTTTGAAGGCTATTCAAGGCTATAAACGTGGATTTTTTAAAGAAATATTTTTGAAGGCTATTCAAGGCTGTAAACGTGGATTTTTTAAAGAAATATTTTTGAAGGCTATTCAAGGCTATAAACGTGGATTTTTTAAAGAAATATTTTTGAAGGCTATTCAAGGCTATAAACGTGGCTATAAACGTGGATTTTTTAAAGAAATATTTTTGAAGGCTATTCAAGGCTATAAACGTGGATTTTTTAAAGAAATATTTTTGAAGGCTATTCAAGGCTATAAACGTGGATTTTTTAAAGAAATATTTTTGAAGGCTATTCAAGGCTATAAACGTGGATTTTTTAAAGAAATATTTTTGAAGGCTATTCAAGGCTATAAACGTGGATTTTTTAAAGAAATATTTTTGAAGGCTATTCAAGGCTATAAACGTGGATTTTTTAAAGAAATATTTTTGAAGGCTATTCAAGGCTATAAACGTGGATTTTTTAAAGAAATATTTTTGAAGGCTATTCAAGGCTATAAACGTGGATTTTTTAAAGAAATATTTTTGAAGGCTATTCAAGGCTATAAACGTGGATTTTTTAAAGAAATATTTTTGAAGGCTATTCAAGGCTATAAACGTGGATTTTTTAAAGAAATATTTTTGAAGGCTATTCAAGGCTATAAACGTGGATTTTTTAAAGAAATATTTTTGAAGGCTATTCAAGGCTATAAACGTGGATTTTTTAAAGAAATATTTTTGAAGGCTATTCAAGGCTATAAACGTGGATTTTTTAAAGAAATATTTTTGAAGGCTATTCAAGGCTATAAACGTGGCTATAAACGTGGATTTTTTAAAGAAATATTTTGAAGGCTATTCAAGGCTATAAACGTGGATTTTTTAAAGAAATATTTTTGAAGGCTATTCAAGGCTATAAACGTGGATTTTTTAAAGAAATATTTTTGAAGGATATTCAAGGCTATAAACGTGGATTTTTTAAAGAAATATTTTTGAAGGCTATTCAAGGCTATAAACGTGGATTTTTTAAAGAAATATTTTTGAAGGCTATTCAAGGCTATAGACGTGGATTTTTTAAAGAAATATTTTTGAAGGCTATTCAAGGCTATAAACGTGGATTTTTTAAAGAAATATTTTTGAAGGCTATTCAAGGCTATAAACGTGGATTTTTTAAAGAAATATTTTTGAAGGCTATTCAAGGCTATAAACGTGGATTTTTTAAAGAAATATTTTTGAAGGCTATTCAAGGCTATAAACGTGGATTTTTTAAAGAAATATTTTTGAAGGCTATTCAAGGCTATAAACGTGGATTTTTTAAAGAAATATTTTTGAAGGCTATTCAAGGCTATAAACGTGGATTTTTTAAAGAAATATTTTTGAAGGCTATTCAAGGCTATAAACGTGGATTTTTTAAAGAAATATTTTTGAAGGCTATTCAAGGCTATAAACGTGGATTTTTTAAAGAAATATTTTTGAAGGCTATTCAAGGCTATAAACGTGGATTTTTTAAAGAAATATTTTTGAAGGCTATTCAAGGCTATAAACGTGGATTTTTTAAAGGAATATTTTTGAAGGCTATTCAAGGCTATAAACGTGGATTTTTTAAAGAAATATTTTTGAAGGCTATTCAAGGCTATAAACGTGGATTTTTTAAAGAAATATTTTTGAAGGCTATTCAAGGCTATAAACGTGGATTTTTTAAAGAAATATTTTTGAAGGCTATTCAAGGCTATAAACGTGGATTTTTTAAAGAAATATTTTTGAAGGCTATTCAAGGCTATAAACGTGGATTTTTTAAAGAAATATTTTGAAGGCTATTCAAGGCTATAAACGTGGATTTTTTAAAGAAATATTTTTGAAGGCTATTCAAGGCTATAAACGTGGATTTTTTAAAGAAATATTTTGAAGGCTATTCAAGGCTATAAACGTGGATTTTTTAAAGAAATATTTTTGAAGGCTATTCAAGGCTATAAACGTGGATTTTTTAAAGAAATATTTTTGAAGGCTATTCAAGGCTATAAACGTGGATTTTTTAAAGAAATATTTTTGAAGTCTATTCAAGGCTATAAACGTGGATTTTTTAAAGAAATATTTTTGAAGGCTATTCAAGGCTATAAACGTGGATTTTTTAAAGAAATATTTTTGAAGGCTATTCAAGGCTATAAACGTGGATTTTTTAAAGAAATATTTTTGAAGGCTATTCAAGGCTATAAACGTGGATTTTTTAAAGAAATATTTTTGAAGGCTATTCAAGGCTATAAACGTGGATTTTTTAAAGAAATATTTTTGAAGGCTATTCAAGGCTATAAACGTGGATTTTTTAAAGAAATATTTTTGAAGGCTATTCAAGGCTATAAACGTGGATTTTTTAAAGAAATATTTTTGAAGGCTATTCAAGGCTATAAACGTGAAGTTTTTAAAGAAATATTTTTGAAGGCTATTCAAGGCTATAAACGTGGATTTTTTAAAGAAATATTTTTGAAGGCTATTCAAGGCTATAAACGTGGATTTTTTAAAAAATATTTTTGCAGGCTATTCAAGGCTATAAACGTGGATTTTTCATAAAATATTTTTGCAGGCTATTCAAGGCTATAAACGTGGATTTTTTAAAAAATATTTTTGCAGACTATTCAAGGCTATAAACGTGGATTTTTTAAAAAATATTTTTGCAGGCTATTCAAGGCTATAAACGTGGATATTTTAAAAAATATTTTTGCAGGCTATTCAAGGCTATAAACGTGGATTTTTCATAAAATATTTTTGCAGGCTATTCAAGGCTATAAACGTGGATTTTTTAAAAAATATTTTTGCAGACTATTCAAGGCTATAAACGTGGATTTTTTAAAAAATATTTTTGCAGGCTATTCAAGGCTATAAACGTAGATGTTTTGAAAAAATATTTTTGCAGGCTATTCAAGGCTATAAACGTGGATTTTTCATAAAATATTTTTGCAGGCTATTCAAGGCTATAAACGTGGATTTTTTAAAAAATATTTTTGCAGACTATTCAAGGCTATAAACGTGGATTTTTTAAAAAATATTTTTGCAGGCTATTCAAGGCTATAAACGTAGATGTTTTGAAAAAATATTTTTGCAGGCTATTCAAGGCTATAAACGTGGATTTTTTAAAAAATATTTTTGCAGGCTATTCAAAGCTATAAACGTGGATTTTTTAAAAAATAACAAAAAAGCAAATTTTTTAGAAAATATTTATGAAGGGTGAGAATCGGTTCATATTTAGATATAGCTCCCATACAGGGTGAGATAAAAAACTGCAACGAGGCCCTTCAAGGTTATAAATGTAGATTTTTTTTAAGAATTATTTTTGAAGATCCACTAGGGCTGTAAATTTGGATTAATGCATATTTTTTTAAAGCTCTGCGAGGCAACGCCGTTCAAAAAAAATATTTTTTTGGATAAATTTTAAGGAGCTTTGAGGCTTTATACTTGGGTTTTTAAAAAATAGTTGGAGATGTTCCTTCTAGTCCAGGGACGTGGATTTTTGAAGAAGTTCAAGGTCATACCAATTGTTTTCTATCAAAAATCGGACCCTCAAAAAGATCTTCTGTCTCTTGAAGAATTTGAACAGATTTTTTCCGAATTTCTTTTGTCACCCTCGTATAGCTTTTGTTAAGATGTAATAAACAAATGCTGTCTTCTTTTTTTTTTTTTTTTTTTTTTTTTTTTTGTTGATAACAGTGCATTATCAAACGGGTTAATACAGTTCATAGATGCAAAAAAAAAATCAGGTTCTACCAGTCCAGCAAATAATTCACAACTTGAAGAAAAATTAACAGATTATTTAATTTGTTTTGCTTTTGAAATATAATTTTTAGTCTCACCAGCGTTTTGTGAGAATGAAAGTGTTCTGGACGCTGGGAATTATTTTGTTGGTGATTTTGAAATTAAATGATCTGCAAACTAGGAAAAGCAGAGTAAGTTCCCTCAGAGGTGTCATAAAAATTATTAAAAATTAATTTCGTCTCCCCCCATCCCTCTTCTAGTGTGATCTAATTACCGAGCATGGCTATCCCTGTGAAGAGCACACATTCACAACCAAGGATGGTTATTTGCTGACCATGTTCCGCATACCTTACTCCCCGGTAACGAAGAATCAAAATCTGGCCAACAAACCTCCCGTCCTCTTCATGCATTGCATTTATTGCTCTTCGGACATATTTCTCTTGAATGGACCCAATGATGGCTTGCCCTTCATGTTGGTCGACCGGGGTTACGATGTCTGGTTGGGTAATGTCCGCGGCAATATTTATTCTCAAAATCATGTGCAGCTCTCACCATGGTCCCGGGCATTTTGGAATTTCACTTTAGATGAAATAGGTCGTTATGATATAGCAGCAAAAATTGATTATATTATAGCTCGAACGGGCCAGCCCAGTACTCACTTTGTGGGCTATTCCCAGGGAACGGCAGTGTTTAGCATTTTACTCTCCGAAAGGCCCAGTTATGGTGAGAAAATACGCAGCACTCATTTCCTGGGTCAAGGTGTGTTTCTTTGCCACATGAAATCATTGCCGGTTCTGAGTCGGGCCTTTGTTATGGGTAGGCCCTCGATGTCCTGGATGGGGCAGTACTCCAGTCATAGTGTTGATCGCCTGCTGAACATCATCGCCCCGCCCATATGTAAATGGTTTGCCACACCCTGTCTGATGCTGTTTCAGTTTGTTGTCGGTTGGAATTCACCTCACTTTAATAGGGTAAGTCCGTGAAGGTCAATCATAAAATTTACTCCAATAAAATAATTTTTCCTTGCAGACCCTTTTAGGTGACTTCCTGCGCACAACCCCCTCAGCGGCTGGCAACCTGCAGACCCTGCATTTCTATCAATCCATAAAAAATTGTCAATTTCGAAAATACGATTTTGGCGAGAAAGGAAATTTGGCTCATTATGGCACCGCTGAACCACCTCCTTACCATTTAGAGGCTATACAACTGAAACATCCCATCAATATTTATTACGGCGACAATGATTTCATTGTATCCCTGAAAGATGTGGAACGCTTGTACAATATTTTAGGAAATCGTACAATATTACGTCGAATACCATATCCGAAATATAATCACTTGGATTTGGCATTGGCCAGAGATGTCAAGGAGGTCTTGAACGATTGCATTGTCGATCAAATGCAGGAATATGAGGGGAGGTCTTTTAAGGGGAATTTGTGCGAGCATTTTAATAAAAATGCCTTTTGAAAAAATGTTTTTTTTTTATTTTATTTCCAAGGGTATTGAAATTAAAAAAATTGCAGGGTGAGATGAAAAAACTGCAAGCAATTTCAGACTGCTGTTATTTCTAATCCACGCGTCGCTGTGGCCGAAAAATGGCTCGTGTGCTGAACATATCACAAAATTCCATTCGGCAAATATTGAAAAATGAGCTCGTGGTAAAGCCATTGAAATTCCAAAAAGTGCAAGAACTTACACCGCAACAGAAAGAAAATAGACTAAACAAGAAAAAAAGCTGTAAGTTCGGCCGGGCCGATATTTGAATACCCTCCACCATTTGGTAAAAATTTGGCAATTTTCAAAAAAATAAAATCCGTTAAAAATTCTGTTAAAATCTTAAAAATACCGAATGTAGCCGTACATTAGGGTCTGTACGACGACGTGGAGGAACCAGGGGAGTTGTAAAACGTGGTCCTGCACAGACAATTTTTTGTCATAGGCTGTAGTATCCATTACGAACTTCAAATACCAAATTTGAAACAATTCCGGTAAATAATGTCGCCAAAATCATCAGTATACCGAATATCGGGAAGTACCGTTATATGAGGGCTATACGAAGAAGGGGACCTACATGGCCCATTTTCTGTTTTATGTTGTAGTGTATATTCAAGTACCAACTTCAAGTACCAAATTTGAAACAACTCCAGTAAATAATGTCGCTAAAATCATCAGAATACCGAATATCGGGGGGTACCGTTATATGGTGGCTATACGAAGACGTGGACCTACATGGCCCATTTTCAATACCAAAACTCCTGCAGACATAATACACATTTGAGTAAAATTTTATCAATCTACTTCATTTCGTTCGGAAGCTAGAGGGATTTCCACAGACGGACAGAAGGACAGACGGACGGACATTGACATATAATTTTATGCTGATCAAGAATATATATACTTTGTGTATTTCGAGGTGTTACAAACGGAATGACAAACTTAATATACCCTCCATACTATGGTGGAGGGTATAAAAAGAGCTAAAGAATTGCTTCGCTTGGCCCAAAACACGTGAACTGCCGAAGTTGGGTTTTTCCGATGAGAAAACATTCGTTCTAAACAAACAAAATGATCGTGTTTACTTGCCAAAGAGGTCAGCTGAAAATTTGCACCTTCGGTTGGCCATCAGAACTCAAGCGCCGACCATGGTGATGGTATGGGCCGCCATAACAGCCGATGGTCGCTCTCCGCACGTAATAATTGACCGTGTCATCAGAATAAATGCCGAATATTATCGTGAAAATATTCTGGAGGGTGTATTAAAGCCTTGGGCACACAAACATTTTGGTCGCAGACCTTGGACATTCCAACTGGACTCAGCATTATCGCACTCAGCACGCGCCACCCAAGAATGATTACAAAATGAGGTATCTCACTTCATTTCCACCGCACAATGGCCACCAAAATCTCCGGATACCATTCCGTTGGACTATTGTGTCTGGAGTATTTAGGAAAGCAAGGTTGGCACTAAAAAAAATCCCAAAGTGTCGATCACCTCAAGCAAGCGCTTCGCCGGGAATGGGCCAAAAATACTGCAGAGCAACATTCGGGCAGCGTGTGACTGTTTCATTGGCCGTTTGAAGGCCAAAGGTGACCAATTCGAACAAATCTAAACTTATTCCAAAATTTGATGCTATTTCCGACATTTTTCGCTTTCATTCAATAAAATTTAAAAAAATGTAAAAATGGCGCCTGACTTTGCAGTTTGCATTTTTTTATCTCACCCTGCATTTATTTAATTTTTAGTCATTTTAGTACTTTTCGTACCCTTTTTGGTACGAATTTCCGGAAACCCAGCCTTATCACACGCCTACGCTCCAAGACTAACCCTCGTGCTTGAAGATCATAGCATAGACAAATTAGGTATAGACTAAAAAGTTGTCTCATCTGTTATCTCTGAAAAAAGTGCTTCAATCAATGTCGTTCATGCTGTGAGAGAGGTTCAGTAGACTCACTCAATTCTCTCAAAATACAAAATATTGAATATTTTTATGATTCTTTATTATTTATCAATTAAAAACGAAACAATGACTTGGTTTACTTTTACATTATCCAAATATGTCGTGAAATATAAAAATATAGAACTTAAATAGCAGAAAAATGAATAAATTGTTTTCGAAGTCGAGTGGCTTCACTAGCCCTGAGTGACTTGACTGGCCCAAGATCAACAATAGTGACATCTGCCGAAAGGGAACATTTTAAAACTTTTTAGTCTATACCTTCATTTGTCTATGATCATAGCTTCAGCTATTTCGTCGTTGACTCTCAGTCAGTCAGTAATTTCACTATTTTTATACCCTCCACCATACTATGGAGGGTATATTAATTTTGTCATTCCGTTTGTAACTCCTCGAAATATTCATGTCAGACCCAACAAAGTATATATATTCTTGATCAGCGTAAAATTCTAAGACGATTTAGCCATGTCCGTCTGTCTGTCTGTCTGTCCGTCTGTCTGTCTGTTGTAATCACGCTATCTTTCGAACAAATTGAGATAGAAGGCTAAAATTTTGCACACATGTATTTTTTCCCAGTAGGCAGGTTAAGTTCGTAAATGGGCCATGTAGGTCCAAGTTATCATATAGCCCCCATATAACGGTACCCCCCGATATTCGGTATTTTGATGATTTTAGCGACATTGTTTACCGGAATCGTTTCAAATTTGGTATTTGAAGTTCGTAATGGATACTTCATCCAAAGTCAAAGAATGAGCCATGTAGGTCCACGTCTTCATATAGCCCCCATATAACGGTACCCCCCGATATTCGGTATTTGAATGATTTTAGCGACGTTATTTACAGGGATTGTTTCAAATTTCGTATGTGAAGTTCGTAATGGATACTTCAGCCCATGCCAGAAAATTGTCTGTGCAAGTCCACGTCTTCGTATAACCCCCATATAACGGTACCCCCCATATTCGGTATTTTGACGATAAGCATTCGGTATTTTTAAGATTTTAACAGAATTTTTAACGGGTTTTATTTTTTGGAAATTGCCAAATTTGTACCAAATGGTGGAGGGTATTAAAAGTTCGGCCCGGCCGAACTTACAGCTTTTTTACTTGTTTATATGTGTAGAAGAATGGCAACACTATTCGAACTAACATGATTACCAGGGCCAATCCCATAAATAAATAAATATTTTTAATGAAAAATATACCTCCATTTTATGAACAATTGAAACTATAGCTCCATAATGGCATTAGAAAAACAAAAATAGGACTTCTAATCGGAAACAAATATTTTTACAAATCGACAAAAAATTAGTAGTCTTCCATAAGCAAAAGGGCTTTTATGGCAATTACTTGACTGGAAACTTAATTCGCAAAAGTTGAATACACTCGCACTAAAGTAACGAATTTTTTTGTATTCTGTTAGCATTTAAATGTTTGCATCCAATCAGGCAATCCCTTCGTAATTTCTGCATCTTTGCTGGCAATGCTGTGCTGTTAAAAACCAGAGTTTTTCTTTGGCAATGCCTTCAGTTGTTTAGCAACATTAACGGCGGAGAATACAGTCAAGTGCAAATGTGGAAGCATTAAAATTGATTTTTTAAATACTAAAATAAAAATAAACATTTTTTCTCTGTCGATCCTTGAAAATATCCTTTAAATAAACGATTATTGATCTGTAGGTCCTTGAAAAAATGTACTTCAAAATTAAACAATTATTGACCTTAAACAAGTTGAAAAATATCAGTCGGTTTTGCCGACAGATGGATGTTACTTCAGCCAATATTCGAATAGTTAAACATATTTTGTTGTCTGTTATGATTATTTAAATTACTGACCCTCTATGGCGTGGATTCCGAAGGAATGGACCAATATTGTCCATTTCGTGTCGTACCTTAATAAATATGATATAAATATTGTAAGGTGTCAGATTTGGACTATATTGGTTACTTCCTTCACTTTATATGAGATATGCGAACATTTTTAGAAAAGGTTAAAATGTGCGTGAGGTATATAGTCGACTGAATTATTCCATTTTCAGACTTCATTTAAAAGAGGTAACAATACAAGTATGTGCAAAATTTAAAGGAAATCGAACATCGACCAATTTTATGCGAAATCATATATTCCATATTCATCTCAAGTTTCTGGTTGAGAGAAAAGTTGTAAAGAATCGCTGACTTGTTTCGCAAGTTATGATAGACAAGAGTATTGAAAAGGCTGACCCTTTGTGGATGAGGTACCACAAGGGGTTCGCAGATATTTATCGTCTTCACAACATATCTTGTGTTAGTAAAAATGTTTGTGTGTGTGAAAGTTGAAGAGAATTGGATACTTATTTCGATTTCTTTGAGCGTTTGGTTTTTCAAAATCTTGAAACCTATGTGGGGGAGGTACCGCAAGGAATGGTCAGATCCCGCCCATCTTTATAACAGATCTTGTGTTGATGAAAATATTCTGCGTGGAATTGGATGTTAATTTCACGTTTTATGAGCTTCATGGTTACTCAAAATTTTGGCCAAGAAAGAGTCGACCGATATATCCCATCTTCACACCAGACCTTAGGTTAATAAAAATATTATGATATGAGTAATTTGAAGAGAACCGGATGCTTATTTCGGATTTTATGATCGTTTTGGTTATTCAAAATGTTGACCCCTTTGTAAGGGAGGTACCAAAATGAATGGTTGAATCTCTACCATCCTTATAAGAGATCTTGTATTGATGAAAATATTGAGACGTGCCAAGTTTGAATGGAATCTGATATTAATTTCCCGTTTTATAAGCTTCATAGATATTCAAAATTTCGAGCATTGTGGGGGAGGCCCCAGAAGGAATGGACAGTCATCTTTACAGCAGAACTTGTCTTTGTAGAAATAATGGGATGTGTGAAATATGGAGAGAACCGGATGCATATTTCGGATTTTTTGATCGTTTTGTTTATTCAAAACTTTAACCCTTTGTGGGAGAGGTACCAGAAGTAATGGCCCAATCTCTACCATCTTTATACCAGATGTTCTGTTGATAGAAATATTGAAACGTGTCAAGTCTCAATGGAATCGGATGTTAATTTCGTGTTTTATGAGCTTCATGAATATTCAAAATTTTTCCCTTTGTGAAGGAGCTACCAGAAGGAGTGGACCAATATATTCCATCTCCACACCAGAACTTGAGTTAATAAAAATATTGTGATGTATGTAATTTAAATACAATCGAACATCACATTTTATAAGAATTATAGTTATTCAATATTTTCACCCTTTGTGGGGGTGGCACTTGAAGGGGTGGACCGATATTGGCCATTTTCGCATCTAACCTAGCACTTGTATAAATATTAGGATCATCCTTTCTCCTTCTATGAAGTACATTATTTCTTATAAAAATTGAGATCTTTTGCAGGTGCCCCCTTCTCGGGTACCCACCCCCGAAGAAGTCGGTGTCGGTATTGCTCGTCTCCTTGCTCAATCTAAGTTGGATAATAATACAACGATGAATCAAGTTTGAACAAATTGAATATCCTTTCAAGAGTTATAGTGCGCTCCTGCCTAACAGGGGGACGGGCATCTCTAGATTGACTCCAAATGTCCTGAAACGGATTTGGTCAAAAGAAACGTGGGGCCTAAAACTAAATTAGGTACGTTTTGACCGTATCAAATAATATATACTCTCTGAAGCCATGTGGTTGAGGTTATAATATTTTTTTAAGGGTTTTTGAAAAATAGTTTTAGGGGCCAATCAAAGTAGAGTTTATAGAAAAAAATTTTTGGTAATTTTGAAGGTATTTTCTAGAATATGCCGCAAATTGTGGCTCCCAGGGTCCTTTGAAAAATATAACAAAAATATTCCTTAAAAATCAATGCATTTTAGATCCTTTAGTCCGTAAAAAAATACTTAGAAAAAAATCCACGTTTTCTGGCTTAGTAGGTCTATAAAAAATTTCCGTTTTTTGTAGCTCAAAGGTTTATTAAAAAAATATTATTTTTTTTAAATATCCTTTTTTAGACTGAGAGTCTCAAAAAAAATTAATTCATAATTTGTGGCTCTGTAGTTTTCCAAAAAAAAAAAAATCGCAAAAATCCTGGATTGGCGAAGGTCTTGGAAGAAATAACTCAATTTTTTTTTTTTTTTGGCTTAAAGAACCTTGAAAAAATATTTAAAATCCATGTTTTGCGGTCTGCGGTTCTAAGTGGTTCTCCACGTTTAGTGGATCTGAATTAATATTTTTTTTAATCCACCTGTGTAGTTTGAAAAAAATTATTTTTGTTTGAAGTTGAAAGTCGTTTGTTCTTGAAAAAATAATTAAAAAATGAATGCTGATCGCTCCTTGAAAAATATTTTAAAGAACCTCCACGTTGATCGGCCTGGAAAAATATTCATAAGAAATCCACTTTTTATCCCGAAAGATATTCTTTAAGACCACACGTGTGTAGCTCCCGATTGTTATGGAAAAAAGTTTCACGTTTGTATTTTTATAAAATCCATGATAGTAATTTCCGATTGTTGCTTTTTTCAAGGTTCTTGCTACCGATTGTTCTGGTAATTCTTTTTTAAAAATTCATATTTTATAGCTCCGGAAAGAAGATATACAAAAATACAGATTTCAATGACAAATACCCTAAGAATACCCATGTTTATAGTTCCTCATTATCTTTAGTTATAGCTCCCATATTTTGAGACGCTGAGGTCTTAAAAAAACATATATAATTTCTATAATTTTTATTTCTTTAATTTAAACAAAAAAATAAAGAAACAATCCTTTCCTGGTAAATTTTTTGCTACCATTGAAATGACAATGATTCATATATCCCAACCCTGCTCCTTACTCTCTGTTGAAAACAAAACAACAGGTGGGCTAAGAGAACGTGTGTTGTCACCATTTCAGTTATTCAAAGAGAGCCCAACAAAAAGAGTGCAAGAAGAGGCACAACAAAAAAGTATCTCAAATAGTATCTGAAGGTGTGTATCTGTGTGGTGTTGTTGTTAATCTTTTTTATTATTGTTGGCTTGCTGGCTATCATTGTATTATTCACGTCATTTATTGTCCAAAAGAGAGAGTGTGTGAAGTGAGAGAGAGACCTCATGGAGATACAACCACTTTTCCGTTGCGCTTCAAGATTTTGTTTAGTCTTTAATTTGGCTTTAACGCGATTGGCTTGCTGGATATGTTCGTGGCTAGCTAGTTGGCTGACTGTTTGGTTTGTACGCACGGTAATTTGTTTTAGTTTAGTGAATTGGTTAGTTAAGTTGCTAAATTAAACTGGCGTTGGGACGGTTTGTCGGTCTGACGATTTTCATTTTTTTTTGGAGAGTCTAAAGTGCCTTGGCAAAAAATAAATAAAAAAAAATCTGTCAGTTTGGTTTAGTGAATGGTCGATCGGTCGTTCCGTGGTCGCTGCTCATTGTATGCAAGCGGCATTAACGTAACCGAAAAAAAAAAAAACAAAAAATAAATAAAATATACAACACCAACAACAAATCGCTTGCTTGATCGGTCCGGTCCGTCGTCGGTCGTTTGTCTCTGCGGTTGGGTCGAGGAGCGACGTTAATGCTTCTTGTTTGACGGTTTTCGGTGATCGTGAATTTGAGATTGTGTGTGGAAGAATTGCTTGCTTGCGCTGGTGTTGTTGGTTCGATGGATGGTTGGAGTAGAGTGCTAAAAAAATTTTTAATATTAAAGAAAAATTGAAAAAAAAAATAAAAATCGAAAATCTGATATCACCTCTCTTCGGGCCACAAACCTTCAAAAAACAACCAAAAACAAACACCATAAAAGCTCTGTTTGTTCGAGAAGACCCCTCAAGCCATCAGCAATCCAGCCCTGGTTTCTTCATCAGCCATTTATCCAACTCCGTCCACAAAAAAAGACGACAACCCAAAATTCGCAACGTCAACGAAACGTTTTGAAAAACTCAAAATTTCGTAGACGTTGAGTAGTCAAAATACAAAAAATTAAAGTTATTTTCTTGTTGTTATTGTTGGCGTCGTCGTCGTCGTCGTGGCTCATGTATGTGTGTGCGTGAATATGTAAAGCGCGTTTGTGTGTAGGTGAATGTGCTGTGCAATTCTGCTTTGAAGGCAGAAGAAAAAAAAAGAGTTAATAACAATAGGCCATAACGTCATTGTACTAGAGTTTTCTTTTGCACAACAACAAAAAAAATTTTATGCCAGACAAAAACAACAACAACATCATCTGAAGTTAAAAAAAAAATTAACAAAACCCCACCTTTTTATGCCGCAAAAATAAAATTGGAGAAAAAAATCTGTCAGCAGATCTGTTAACCAGTTTCAGAATCCAAGCATAAACAAGTTTTCAGAGGGGACAAAGAGAGAACAGAGAGTGAGAGAGGAGACCCCCCTCCAGTTTCATCTTCCGCTTGACAAATAAAAAGAACTGATTTTCTGATCTAAAACTCTGGGCAGAGCCGGTCCGGTAAGCGGGCCTCGTGGTTTACCTTAGACAAACGTTTTTTATTGCCTCAATTTTTTCACTGAGAGGAGGGAAAGAGACGTAGCTCAAACCGGAGAGACGGCCAATAGAAGAAGAACAAAACACCAAGAACAACAACAACAAAACTACATTGGCATCTCATAAATACCTGGCTGGGGTCTGGTATCTCTACGTCTGTCCGTCTGGCTGTCTGGCAAGGTTCGTTGATGATGATCATCATCATGATCGACATGACGATGATGACTGTGTGATGTTGGAAACCAGTTGGAAGAGGAAACATGTTTGCCAACTCTTTCTTCAACTACCAGAAATGAAGTGAAAAACAAGCAGCAGGCAAGGCAAACAAACAGCAGCAGCAGCAACAACAACAATACCAATACCACTAACAACAACAACAAAAATGGTAAGTGAGTACCCGGAATCTAACGGTAGATGGGATGGATGGATGCATGTTCAATGCCTCATCGTCTTCTTCTTCTCCGTCTACTTCTCGTTGTTTAATTTTCACTTCATTTAAACGTGATCACTCACCACCACCACTGGCCGACAACCGGCCATCATAACGACGTCCAGTAACACTTGTTCTTCTCCCCCCCCCTCCCCTTTTTAACCGAGGGTTTTCCAAGAAATGCATTCTAGTTTGAAAACAAACAACAACTTTTGTTGTTAGCCGACTTGACTCTTAAGGTTAGAGGGAGAATAGGATTTAAAATTTTTCAAAAAAAAAAAAAACAAAAACAATTTTAAAATTATTTTCAATTTTTTTGTTTGTAATTTTTGTTTTTTGGGTTTTGTTAATGTAATTGTTTTTGTTGTTGTCGATTGGTTATGTTTTATGAAGTGTTAGGGCTATTTATGAGTGCAATACTTGCTCGCACACATTCGATCGAACCCAGCCGGTGCAATCAATGGTGGTTTGACATGACTCGTATGGAGAGTTGCCACATTAAACAATTTAAAATATGCATTTTTATATCCTCTATCATAGTATGGAGGGCATATTGAGTTTGTAATTCCGTTTGAAACACCACTTCGATCAGCATAAAATTCAAAGTCGATTTAACATCGACCGTCTGTCCGTCTGTGGAAATCACATTAGCTTCCGAACGAATTCAAGTAGGTTGATAAAATTTTACTCAAATGTATGTTATGTATGCAGGACTTTTAGTATTGAAAATGGGCCATGTAGGTCCACGTTTTGGTATAGCCCCCATATACGGTACCTCCCGATATTCGGTATTTTTATGATTTTAGCGACATTATTTACCGGAATTGTTTCAAATTTAGTATTTGAAGTTCGTAATGAATACTACAGCATAAGGCAGAAATTTGTCGGTGCAGGTCCACGTCTTCGTATAGCCCCCATATAACGGTACCTCCCTATTTTCGGTATTTTGAAGATTTTAGTGACATTATTCACCGGAATTGATTCAAATTTTCGTATTTGAAGTTCATACAGGGTACTACAGCCTGTGCCAAAAAGTTAAATATGCTGGACCACGTCTTCGTATAGCCCCCATATAAGTGTACCTCTCTATAGTCGGTATTTTGATGGTTTTTGCTACATTATTCACTGGAATTGTTTCATATTTCGTATTTGAAGTTGGTATAGGGTACTAAAACCTGTGACAGAAAATTCAATTTGCAGGTCCACGTCCTCGTATGGCCCCCATTTATCATTACCACCCTATATTCGTTAATTTAATGGTTTTTGCTGCATTATTAATCGGAATTGTTTCAAATTTCGTATTTGAAGTTCCTATAGGGTACTACAGCCTGTGACAGAAAATGCAATATGCAGGTACATGTTCTCGTATGGTCCCCATATAGTATTACCTCCCTATATTCAGTATTTGGATGGTTTTTGCGACATCATTTACCAGAGTTGTTTCAAATTTTCCATGGGATGTTCGTACTGGATACTACATCCAATGACAGAAAATTTTCTGTGCAGATCCAAGTCTTCGTATAGCCCCCATATAACGGTACCTCCCTATATTCGGTATTTTGGTTTAGGTACAATACCCACCGAAATTGTTTGAAATGAAGTTGAAGTTCGTAATGGATGCTACAGCCTATGACAGGAAATTGTCTATGCGGGTCCAGGTCTTCGCACAGCTCCGACATAACAGTACCTCCCTATATACAATATTTTGATGATTTTTAGCTACATTATTCACCGTTTATTTCAAGTTTCAAATTTGAATTTGGTAATGACTTATGACACACAATGCCTATGTAGGTCCACGTCGTATAGACATCAATATAATGGCTATATTCGGTATTTTTAAAATTTTAACAGATTTTTTTAAGGATTTTATTTCCAAATTCGTTCCAAATGATGGAGGGTATTCAAAGTTCGGCCCGGCCGAACTTACTGCTTTTTAACCTGTTCAATTTTAAATTATAAAAAAAAATATTAGTAAACGGCTAAAAGTGAAATGCTGAGATCTGGTCCAGTAAAGGAATTAAGCTGGATTTTTGGAAATTCGAACCGAAAATTGCTTGGCACGTAAGAACAGTTATTTGTGCCAATTCTCAGGATATTGAATTTCACTTATCTTTTCTTGGTATCGACATTCCAGTGTTATCAATTTCGTATCTACCCTATGTCTGATATAAATATTACAAAGTGTAAACTTTGGACTACAGAGTGACATAAAAAAACTGCAACAAAGTCAAACGCCATAATTTTTACATTTTTTTAATTTTATTGAATAAAAGCAAAAAATGTCGGAAATAGCATCAAATTTTAAAATAAGTTTAGATTTCTTCGAATTGGTCGCCTTTGGCACGAATTATGGCCTTCAAACGGCCAATGAAACCGTCACACGCTGCCCGAATGTTGCTCTGCGGTATTTTTCCTATTCCCGGCGAAGAGCTTGTTTGGGGTGATCGACACTTTGGTATTTATTAGTGCCAACCTTGCTTTCCAAAATACTTTAGACTCAATAGTCCAACGGATTGGTATCCGGAGATTTTGGTGGTAATTGTGCGCTGGGAATAAAGCGAGGAACATCATTTTGTAACCATTCTTAGGTGGCGTGTGCTGAATGCGATGGTGCGAAGTCCTTTTAGTCCGCGGCCAAAATGTTTGTGTGCCCAAGGCTTTAATACACCCTCCAGAATATTTTCGCGATAATATTCGGCAATTATTCTGATGCCACGATCGATGAATACGAGCGGAGAACGACCAACGTCTCTAATGGCGACCCACACCATTACCATGGCCGGCGCTTGAGTTATGGTGGCCAATCGATGGTGCACATTTTCATCTGACCTCTTTGGCAAGTAAACACGATCGTTTTGTTTGTTTACAAACTGCTGGACCACGAATGTTTTCTCATCGGAGAAAACCAAATTCGGCAGTTCACCACTTTCGGCCAAGCGAAGCAACTCTTTAGCTCTTTTGAGTCTATTTTCTTTCTGTTGCGGTGTAAGTTCTTGCACTTTTTGAAATATCAATGGCCTTACCCCGAACTCATTTTTCAATATTTGCCGAATGGAATATTGCGATATGTTCAGCCCACGAGCAATTTTTCGGACACTGCGACGCGGGTTTCGATCAAGTCGCTTTTTTATTTTTCGAACCATTTCTGCTGATGTTGCCGTTTTCTTCCATCCTTCCTTGACGTCTGGCTACGCTACCAGTAACACGGTAACGAGCGATAGTACGAGACACAAATAATTTATTCACATTTAAATGCTGGAGTGCTCTAAAGATAGCGACTTGTGGTTTTCCAGCCAAATATAGAGTAATCACACTACCACGCTTGAATTCCATCACGAAGAACTTATAATCGGGAAAATTCTCACCATAATCCTTGTGTACGCTTGTAAACAATATAATAAGCTGTCACTGGAATAATTTTAACAGCTGTCGGACGAGTGTCTTAGAAATGACAGCAGTCTGAAGTTGACTGCAGTTTTTTCATCTCACCCTGTACGAAGGCTATTAAGACTAACTTCATTACTTAAGGAATATTTTTAAATGCCCTTCTAGGCTATAAACCTGGATTTCAAAGAATGTTTTTGAAGACAATTTTTTTAATTTTATAAAGAATATTTTATTTCGAAAGGCTGCAAACGTATATTTTAAAGAACATTTTTAAGTTGCTAAAAACCACCTTTGATTTTTAAAAAATATTTTTGATGGCCCTTTCAGGTCACAAACTTTGTTTCATAAAGAATATTTTTTTTTAATATTTTTAGAAGGTACTTCAAAGCCTTAAATGCAGATTTTGAAGGCCCTTAAAGGCTATTAATGCATATTTCCAAAAGATATATATTTGAGGGTCCTTCAATGCTACAGAAGGAGATTTTTAAGGTCTTCAAATTAACATGAAGAAAAAAACGGTTCGGATATATAACAACTTTATTCGGAACAAAATATGTAATAAAGTTCAGAAATACCTATTTTAAATTTTATAAGAATCGGTTCAGATTTTGATATAGATCTCATATGTATTTCTATCCGATTTCACGTTCATTGTGCACTAAATGGTTAATATCAGCACAAATTGAATGGATTTTAACAAATACAGCCTAAAAGCAACTGTGTGAAATTTGGTGAGCATCGGTTCATATATTACTATAGATCTCTATATACCTCTCTATACCTATGTTTTATCCAATTTTGGTATTGAAGTCCCTCGGATAAAGCTTGGAAATACCACTGCCAAGTTTTGTCGAAATCGGTTCAGATTTGGATATAACTCCCATATATATCTTCATACGATCTTACAAATTTACCAAATGTGTAATATCAGCCCAAAAGGTAGTCTTATCATGCACCCCATACGAGCTGTAATTTTTGGTGCTAGAGGTCCAAATACTTTGGTCAAATTTTGTGTAAATCGATTCAAAGAACAAGTTAAAAAGCAGTAAATTTGGCCAGGCCGAACATTGAATACCCTCCACCATTTGGAACGAATTTGGAAATTTTCAATAAATAAAGTCCTTAAAAAAGTCCTTGTTTGTCATAAGCCATTACCATATTCAAATTCGAAACTTGAAATAAAAGGTGAATAATGTAGCTAAAATCATCAAATATCGTATATAGGGAGGAGGCTGTGAGAAGACCTGGACCTGCATACACAATTTCCGTCACAGGTTGTAGCATCCATTACGAACTTCAATTACAACATCTCAAACAATTTCGATGGGTATTGTACCTAAAATCGTCAAACTACCGAATTTTGGGAGGTATTGTTATATGGGGGCTATACGAAGACGTGGACCTGCACAGACAATTGTCGTAGGCTGTCGTATCCATTACGAATCTCAAATAGCAAATTTGAAACAATTCCGGTGAATAATGTCGCTAAAATCATCAAAATACCGAATATCGGGAGGTACCGTTATATGGGGGCTATATGAAAACGTGGACCTGCACAGACAGTT